AAAGGGGAGTCAAAGACCCTCTGGACGTGTGACTATGCAGGGTTTGGGGACCAGGGCCATGAAGTGCCAGGCCATGAAGTCTGACCAGCCACAAGGATACTTGATTTCATATCAACTTGTAGGAATAACAGTTTGGAAAGGTCCCTCTCCAAGGAGACCATTTCTGTGAGGGACAAGTGAGATAACCATTATGAAAGTATTTTGAAAAATTGAAAATCCCTATTTACATATAGTTAACTTATTTATTTATTTATTTATTTATTTATTTATTTATTTATTTATTGGAAGGCAGAGTGTTGAAGAGAAAGAAAGGGGAGTCAAAGACCCTCTGGACGTGTGACTATGCAGGGTTTGGGGAGGGCGGTACAAATGGACAAACTTTACGCTGCAAGCCCTTAATTCAAAAGCTGTGTCACCCACGCTGCCTCCACTGCAAGTGCGACCTAACTCTTTGCCTTTGTTCTGAGTGAAACAAGCATAACCCTGTTCTTATGACCCAAAGTGGACCTTTTGTGAAACCACTCACAGGCCTGGACTCCTCCAGCCTGAGACACACGTCGCCTTATCTCCCTCAGGCTGTCGAGGTGGAGGCTGGGAGTAGGTTCCAGTAAGATGGGTGTCAGCGGAAAAAGGAGGACTGAGGACCTGGGAGGGAAGGAAAAGGCTGCAGCTACAGATCAGTCGCTTGGACTTCTCTCATGTCCTCTGCCCTCCAGCTCGTCTATGACCGTCCATTCACTAAGGTTCCCAGTGGAGGCATCTGCCGTACCGACCCCTCTTAGTCCTACAAAACAAGCTTCTGATTATTGCACCAAAAGCAATATAGCAATTGCATGGATTCTATAATATTACAGAAGTCATTTTTATTTCACTTGGAGTGAATGAATAATGAGGGTTCTATTTATATATTTAGATTTACTTTTGACTACACCTCTTTGGGTGAGACTGATATTATAATGACCTATAGTAGTACAATAGAAATGTACATAATCATACATATGATATTAAATATGAGATTAAAGGCAACTGCCTTACTTGAGTCTATCCCTAATCCAGTGTGGGCATGATAAGCAAGGCAGGGAGAAAGAAATGAGCCAACCAGCAGAGAATTTAAACACTTTCAGTCACCACCCACAGGTGGATAATTCTCAGGTGGATGATCAAGTGTAGCAGGTGACAAAGCAAACAACTCGGGGGAGGGACTAGAAGACAAGACGGTTTCCTAACCCCCAAAAAAACACCCAGACGGGAACATCTGAATTGTTGGAAAGTCTTCAGATTGAGAGACTATGACCTGGGGGAGATCAGATTCTGAGAAAAGGACGTCCGGAGCTAAGGGAAAGTAATGGACTGTGGGAATACAGGTTCCTATCGTCCCCCAGCCATGGTTAGAGCCTCGGTTCTCTGACTGTAAATGCAGGAATGGACCAGAGGCTTCCACCCAGCTCCCACGGCAAATCCTCCTCAGTCAGAGCAGGGGCTTGCAGGGCCGGCTGGAGAAGAGCAGGTGTGCCCACCTGCTGCATGCCAGGCAGCCACCTGGGCACCAAGGACAGTGGTTTCCCAGAACCACAAACCACTGGCCTGCTCCCTGCACTTCCTGCTCCCACCTGGTATGAGCCTTTCTCATTTGGCTCCCAAGGGCACACCAGTTCCCTGATCCTCTGACCAGAATTGTCACAGATGAGTGCCCTGTAGGTGCAAAGAACTGGAACCAACTTCCTCTACCCTCTCCCTTTCTGTCAAGGTTCTCAGAAGCTTCTGGGGAGATGCCACACCCACTGGGCTGGAGGGGAGGCTGCTCAGAGGCACCATGTGCTGGTGCAGTGTTCACTACCAAAATTCGCTAGAAAGGCCCATTTACATCTTAAGCAGCACAGGTCAACCAGAAATCCTAGCAGGGCATGGAAAATTGAGCAGACCACTGAAGGGGGTCTTGGTCTCTGTACTAACTCTGTGATTGAACGCAAAGGCTATTTCTTGATAAGTACTTCAGTGTCATTGGCATCTAGTGTGGGGGATTAGAATCTGCCAGGTAGCTTGGGGGGAAATGCAAGTAGTGGGCCTTGCCCCCTGCAGATTCAGCAGGTCTGAGATCAGTCCTGGGGCTATGGTGATTCTAATAGGTGGCCAGGTTTGGAATCCACTCCTAGGCAGTTCAGCCAGGAGCTGGAAGTTCTGCTATTGGGCAAATCCTCCCCTCCACTCTCAATTTTTCCATATCTCAGGTGAGGAGAATTATTCTGAAGTTCTTGTACCTTCTTCACTCTTGCCAAATAGGAACTGCTTCTTCTCTCATCCCCCTCCCTTTTCCCTTCAGAAATAAACCAACTCCCCTGGATTGTTCTCTGCCCTCAGATCCAGCTGCTGGGCATTCAGGGCTTCTTCTTGGAGGGAAGGTTTGGGAAGTGAAGTAAGTAGCACATCAATTCTCTTTCCCAGCTGCAGTGGCGAGGGAGCTTCCCCTTCCATTCACCCCAGGAACAGAGCCAATGGCCAAGTGCGCCTCCCAAGACACCTGCACTCGCTCCCCAACGTGCCCTGGCAGGCGCTGGGATGCACCCTTCCCTGCCTGTCCATATAAAGGTTCCATCTAGTCTCAGGTCCCCTTTAAGCCCTCTTTGACTGCAGTGTCCCCCCCCCCGCCCCCCGCAGTGATCTCTCGCTTCTCTGAACCCCCTTAGCGTTTATTAAACGTCCTAGTAATTTAGCTCCTCTCTCTCAGTGCCTTGTATTGAACAAAGTTTTTCTTTTTTCTGCTCAATATTATAAGCCTTTGAGGATAAGATTGTACTGCTTTATTCCTGTAACTCCCTCCGCCCTTCCCTTGCACAGAGAAGGCTCTCAGTGCCCACCGACTGTCACTGGTGCTTCCAATCTCTTTCCCATTTGCAAGCGACAGAGGAAATGTAGGGTTGTCAACTGGCCAATGTTCCTGAATGATTTGTATTTGTATTTGGCTGTTTCTTCAGTTAACTGAGTTGAGGGGCTATACTTGTGAACCATTCTGTGAACATCATTGAAGAAGACTGTGTTATACATAAACATTTTAATGTCCTAAATCTTCTCTCTAACCTGGGAAGACAGCACGCTGCCTCTTAGAGACACATCCTGGGTAAAGGCCTGGGTTTCTTAGAGAAACACTGAATATGCCACATTGCTACCTGCACTTCCTTACCAGGCGCCCAGCGCTGGTGGGGTTTGTATATCTAGCAAAGCGCTTAGGAGGGCTGGAGTCAGACTGCCCAGACACCCATCTGACCTCTTCCCCGTATTAACTGTTTAAACTGTGTGCATCAGTTTCCTATAACTATACAGGAAATAACCGCATCTCTTCAGAGGTTTATTATGAAAATTCACTGAGTCAGTACAAGTAAAGTACTTGGTAAGCTCTCAATAAATGTTAGTTGCCGCCATGATTATTATTGGAGAAGCAATCTGGGAAAGCAGAAGACATTGTCCGATCTCATTTATTTGTACATATGAATCCCAAGACCTTTTCTTCATGTGTAATATAAAAATGCTGATAATGCCTGGAGTGCCTATCTCACAGCGCTGCAATGAGATTCAAATGAGCTGGTACACATGAAAATGCTTCGTAATCTATAAAGCCTTGTGCAAATGTAAGATAGCATATGCCCCCCACCGCCGCTGCTTTCGCCAGCACCTATATGATTGTGCATCCCATCATGCTTTGTGTTGTGGTTACTTATCTTTACCTCCCTTCTCTCCTAGCCTGTGAGCTCCTTGAGGCAGGGATCACCGTTTGCTCTCTCTTTAATCAACCACGGTGTCCAGCCTGATGCCTGACCATGGTATGCGCTCAACAAATGGGGAACTGGAGAAGTCGCAGCCTCCTGTGTGTGTTTTTCTGGGATGCGTTCCAGCAGCTTCCTCCCTGTTGAGCTGCATGTGCTAAGATGTCCTCCATCACGTGTAGCTTCCCAGAGGGCACACCTGTGAGGAGCATCTCTGAGAAAGGTCCCATCCTAGGAGCCAGGCACCCAATAGACACTAACTGTGGGGACTCCCTGGCCTGCCACTCACTCCTGGGACCTTCCTGGGCTCTGACCCCTGTGCTCAGCCATCAGTCTCCCGGTCTTCGTGAGGTCTCTCAATGAGTCTCCATATTATTGGAGAGGCCATAATACCAGTTCAGGAGCCCTAGACCAGAGCAATATAGACTATGTTGCTATGGAAAAGGCTCTTAGACTTATTGAATTTTGAGTCCTGCCTGCAGTTGCCTTCAGGGCCAGACCAAATGATTTCTTGGGCCTGATACGGCCCACAGGCTGGACATCCCCCCCGCCAGCCCCTGCCCTAGACAGCCCAACCAGGGACACTGAGAAATCAAACATCAGCATTTCATTTTGTAGAGCAGCAGAGACTCAAGGCCTTGCTTTCCTTCTTCCTGCCTGGAACTTTCCCCAATGGCAACCTTGGTTTAGGCCCCTCTGCTCTCTGCTCCTGTATCTTCATGGGGTGGGGTGGGATGGGGGGGTCTCAGAGGATCCCCGGTGCCTGATGCTATTCTGTATTATTTCTGTGTCCTTCCAAACGCCCACCTGTGCTATACACAGAGAAAAGCACTGGACACATTGTTGCTGATTGGGATGGGAAGGACCAAGAAAACCAAAATGAGTAGACTCATTGGGAGATTAATTGCACAGGAGTCTATTGACCGCATGACTGAAGCTGGATTTTTTCGGAACCGCTGGCTGCCTTCACATTTCCTGGTGGAAGTGGGACAGGTCAACAGTCATAGATAACTTTTGCCCACACATCATTCACTTCTTGGAGCGTTGGCTTGAAATTGGTGTGTGTGTGTGTGTGTGTGTGTGTGTGTGTGTGTGTGTGTAACCGACATGCCTTCTGTGAGCCTCAGAGTTCTCTGCACTCTCTTCAAATGAGCTGATTACAACACAGAGGATGTGGACAGTGGAGGTTTTCCTGGTTGATGTCACACTGCTACCCTTTAAAAGCCCAAGGGGGAAAGGAGGGAATCCAGCCTGGGATCCTCACGCCAGATACCCACCAGGGGGAAGAGGAGAAAAAGGCCAGAGAGGCTGCCCGGAGTCAGGGAGGCAGTGTCAGGTTTCAAACTCCGCACCAGCCATTCAGAGAGCAGCGATGCCAGGGGCCCGCCTTGGGTTGCTGGTCTGCGTCCTGGCCCTGCGCTGTGTGGTCAGAGCCTATCCCAACGTCTCCCCACTGCTGGGCTCCAGCTGGGGTGGCCTGACCCACCTGTACACGGCCTCAGCCAGGAACAGCTACCACCTGCAGATCCACAAGGACGGCCATGTGGACGGCACACCCCATCAGACCATCTACAGTGAGTAGGGGCTTCATTCAGGCTGGGAGGAAGGGGAGCTCCTTTGCCCGTCCCCTGCCAGGGACATGGGGAGACCCTGGGCTAGACCAGAGGGCTAATCCAGCCTCTGTGTGTGTGTGTTTAAACCTTGGGAGAAGATTCTGCCACCGTCCTAGGTAAAGTTTACTGGTTTCTACTGACATGAATACCTTCTATCTTAACTAAAGTCCTTCTTCCCACAACAGCAGCCACTTTCCCTTGTCCTGTCCAAAGAGTCAAAGAAAGGCAAGTAGGTTCAGAGGGCAAAGACAGATAGGTAAATAGTCACTGAGTTTCAGCTTATGAACTTTGGGCAGAGTTAGCAATGGAGGTTGTGAAGAAGATGCCTGTGTCCAACTCCGATTTGAAATAGCTGAACTCAGGGGCTCTTTCCAACTTGGAGCTTCTTGTATTCTGGCCTTTTAAATTTTTTCAGGAAAAATGTATAAAAGACAGACTATCCAGGTATGTTGTCTTGATGGGCCTGATCATGTGCACAAACCATTCATGCACTCATCTATCTATCCATGCATGCATCCATCCAACAGGTCACCAGGCGCTTCAGAGCAACCCAGTTCAGTACAAATCAGTAGCAAATGAGCTAGTTGGGAGCTCTTTGGCAACACGAGACAACTAGAATGTTTTAAAGATTACATTTGTGGAACATTGGATCACAGTCCACAATAGTCAATCAATTATGTATGATTCACATGAGGGCCCTTTGGTGTGCACCTATATAAGAAATAATGAAGCAGGAGGATGGATGGATATTGAAAAAGACAAGGTCTTCTATTTTACTAGAATATGTAAAAATTACTCTAAGAATACAGAAAAATATATACTGATTAAATTAAAGAACAAATTAAAGGAATGAAAGAGTAATCACAGTCTGTTTAATTACAGAAAACTATTTGCCGTATATTGTACTAAATTATTTAGTAATTTTCCTGTGGCCTTGCTGTGTGCAAGACAGTAATTCTGCTAAGAATCAAAGGTTCTTAAACCTGGTAGCAAGGTATATGCACATGCAAAACCAACAGTTCAAATCTCTTCAAGTGCTCAATGGATGGTGATAGAGATTAGAGGAGGGAGAAAAGGTCTCTCCAAATACCAAAAAGGCTCTGGAACTCAACAGGATAAGGTGGGATTCAGGAGTCAACATCTTGGAAGCCAAGTTTGAGTCTAATGGCGAAAATCTGAAATAAATCTGGATATACTTGATACATCCAAAGTGCTGCTCATTTTATCCAAGGGGTGTTTAGCGGAGCCTGCAATGTGTCTGACATCATGCAAAGCTCTGTGACTGCAAAGGCAGACACGGCCCTTCAAGCACTTCACCCTGTCTCCCAGCTTATTATCAGACTTCTCGGAAATACAATTTTTGCAGCTCCCATGGAGGGTCACCCTTACTTCCACTGCAAGGTTTAACGTGCACGAGTGGCTTATGGTACCTTATTTTATTCCCATGGATGGAAAGGGCTTCATTCAATTAGAGAATGCTTGTAAAACTTGTCTAAAATCATGGAATCCCTTCACTGAAAGGAGCCTCCCAAAGACATGTCTTCCTGAACATGACAAAGTAGACTGGTGTGAGCCGGCTGTGGTGGGCTGAGTGCTCCAGGGTATGGGGCTCCGCCTACTGAGCAGGCAAGCCAAAATGTAGAACTTTCCCTCAAATATCCACTGGTGTCAGGCCCAGCGAAGGCACTGAGTATTAGTTGGAATGAATTAAAATGACTGAGAAGAAGTAAAATAAACTGATTTCAGATTTTTTTACTTTACAGAAAAGTGATTTTGTTTTGTCAGGTATAGCTGCTAGCTAAGCAGGGTGCTCCCAGGGAGGGGAACTCAGGTCAAGGTGGTGGGTGGGAGACACTTTTCCTAGTTTGAATAATCGATTGTACTATTCAAATCAGGTATCATGTGCATTACCAAAAAAAAATGCATACATTAAGATAAATGTTACCAAAAAGAATAGAGGAAACATGGGCGTCTGTAGATAGGTAGGACAACTAATTAACAGAGGATTTATAATTACCTCCTCAATGAGTGTAAAGCAACACATGTACACTGATGGGAAGCAGTCGGTGGGTTTTCCCCTCTTAAGTCATTATAGATTTCCAGTGAAATCTGTTTCATTTGATTGCTGTGCTTTAGCAAATTCTTGATTAATAGCTGAGTGCCCACCCCATCTTTGGGTTGTTGGTCACTGTAAACTTACCTACCTACAAGATTCTGTAACCTCCCTTCGGACTCAGCACAGATGGCAGGGAGCCTCTCCTACATCTGTGTCTCCTGTCCTGCTATGAACAAGGCCACCCTTTTTTCCGTTACCCCCCGCCCCCACTTTGTGGAAACAGCAGAGAAAAGATGCTTACTACCCCTGGTTACTGTCATTTCCTAGATGCAGTAACCTTCCTCGTTGGCATTTTCTTTATTTGAAGTTGAATTATCCTCAGGCTCCTTCATCCTTCAAAATCTTCTCTTTCTTCTGGGGAGCTGGAGGTACTTTACACAGATCATCTTACTTGTCACTTACTGGCTATGAGACTAGAACAGAGCAGGTAATTTTCTACTTTAACAGCAGAGGTTGAGGCAAAGAGGTAATATAACAATTACCAGCATTTAGAAAGTGCTTTTACAGTGGATAAAAATATTATCGCATTGCATCCTCTAGACAGCCAAATGAGGTGATTCTGCTACTTATGAGGAAAACAAAGCTTAAGGAAATTAAATAACTCACGCAAGGTCACATAGGTAGTAGATGACCTACCTAGGCAGTGGTCGGCAAACTGCGGCTCTCGAGCCACATGCGGCTCTTTGGCCCCTTGAGTGTGGCTCTTCCACAAAATACCGACTTTTGCACATGGGCCATGAAGTTTCAATCGCACTGTACATGCGCGCCCGCACGTGGTATTTTGTGGAAGAGCCACACTCAAGGGGCCAAAGAGCTGCACGTGGCTCACGAGCCACAGTTTGCCAACCACTGACCTAGAGGATACCATGAGCCCAAACCTGTGCTTCTTCCAGGGCCACACACACCACCCGTTGTGACTAAAAGAAATGTCCCTTCGCTCTGCTGGCTCCAACAGGTTGTGCCTCAAGCAGCCAGTGGTTTCGTCTTTCCTTCTGCTGAATTCTGCCCTCGCATCTGTGCAGACTGTGAAAACATGCCTTCTGAAATGGCAAAGGGAACAAAGTCTTTCTCTTATATTTTCTGGTTTTCCCACTGGCTTATGTTGGTTTGATTCAAGTCTGAGCATCCTCCATAGCCAGCTGCTCACTGTTCCTCTGCGGGCTGATTTCTACTGGGACTGGCCCCGGAGAACAGGACCAGGTGTCCCATGCACACTGCACACAGTGACCCTGAGCACAGGATGCCATAATGGCAGGTCAGCAATACTGTCTAATGCCTTTCCTTTGCTCAACACTTTGAAGTCATTTTTACAGCCATCATTCCATTAGATTCTAATTGTAACCCTACAAAGTAGGCAGGACAGCTGTTATTACTCCCTTTTCACAACTGAGGAAACTGAGGCAAGAGCATGACCTGCCCAAGGCTACAAAGTCAGTAAGAAGTATAATTGGGACTGGAATCCAGTTCCTGGTTCAGTGCTTCTTTCCTGACCCACTGTGTGGGGCCTTGACTTTGTCTTCTGATGATTTCTGTTGGAGACAAGCTACAAGGTGATAGGAAGAGGATGTTAGGTCCACTGACCTTAGTTTGAATCCTGCCTTAGTTTCCACAACACTTAAGTTGGGATGCTGCTACTGCCAATATTAATAATATTAACAATACAACCATTGTTTTGAAAATGTAAAATACATAAAGTTCTTAGCGCACAATCACTCAAAAAGTTACTCAATGTAAAGAAAATTCATCAGGACAGAACTATTCCTTTCATGTTTCTTAAGTTCCTCTCAGGGCTTACCACAAAATTAGCCACCTATTCGAGACACATAGGCAGACCCAATTATGGAGCAATGCAAATATCCTCCACACCTCCCATACCCCACCCTGCTTCCAGAAACTCCCCTCAAGGCTAACCCTCAGCGAAACTTGGAATCAAATTAACTTTCGTCTTTGGCCTCCTCCTTTCTCTTCGTTCTAGGCTTGCTCCTGCCTCATTTCCTCTGTCCCAAATCATTCTGACTTCAGTCCAGATCAGGGTCTGTTCTCAGCTCGTGTCTAAGAATTGGCTGCTGCTCTCCTCAGAGGTCTTGTATTGATCCTACATTGGGTGGAGAAGGAGACGGGCTGTAAGTCAACCCATGAAGTGCTACCACTTAATGGGAATACACCATTTCTAAAAGAGGGATTTGAACCACTACCCGGGCTCCTCCCCGCGGGCTGAGGCCAAATGAGATGCAGGGGGGAATTCTGTGGTAGGCAATGGAAGCTACCTTAAAGACTTGAGGAAATGATTTTCAATAGAAAATGTCAGATAATTAAACAGCATGTGGGGCATAAGTCTTGCTGAATTGTACCCTTGCCACAAAACAGAAAGCTTTAGACTTTCTTTAACTAGGCATTGGTACTTGTTAAAATTGCAAGTTTCCATGGGAGTGGGTGAGGGGTGTACTAAAGCTGTTATCAATTATTTAAGGTGTAGGTAGTGTGAATGGATTTTGGGCCCTTGCCAGAGACTAGTTTTTGAGAGGGGCATTGAAAGACCATGAGGGACAGCACCTTGAGGGGACATCACCAAGTGAGAAAAAGACAAAGAACAGCAATAAAGACCCAAGAAAAAAATTCCATCCAACCCTATTCAACATGGAAAGATAAACCATCTGATTCTAAGTAGCTCCCTCTAGGGGACACACTAGGTATGTAAACCTAAAGCAAGGGGAATGAAATGCATGCTGCAATAGAGGTGTAGGCATTGTGCTGAGAGCAGAGAAGAAAGAACAATTAATGCTGAGGGAGATTAGCCTGGCCTTGAAGGATGAGTGACTTCAATAAGCAGAGAAGAGAGGGAAGATCAATTCTATTACAGTTCTTGACACATGATGGGTGTTGACTGAGGTACCAGGGACATTTGCACAGCTACTCAGGTGGAGAATCAGGCTCTATGTGCAACCTGGATCCTTGAAAGACATCTTGGTATAGATTTTAAAATCACAAAGGCAGAAGCTTTGGGGGAATGTGACTACCACCACAAACATGAAGCGGTATTAGCCAGGCAAGGAGACGATAAAGACAGTCCAGGCAAGGAGAGAAACATGTGTAGGGCACAGGTGAAAGAATGCAGGGAGTTCAGAATGCTCCATGCGGCAAGGGGGTGAAGAGTAAGATAATTGGGGGAGAGGGGACAAGAGTGGGGGCGTGTAGGAGTCAGAAGAAATGAGGCTGAACAAGTAAGTACAAGGGGAGGGTTTGTGAAATCATCATGACCATTAAAATTAATCAAGGGAAGATTCATGAAGGCAGGTTTTCCAGAAGTGCTCGAAGGTGGGAACTGGACGTACAGCAAGGTTTGACCTGAATGCTTTTCTACACAGGTGCCCTGATGATCAGATCAGAGGATGCTGGCTTTGTGGTGATAACTGGAGTGATGAGTAGGAGATACCTCTGCATGGACTTTAGAGGCAACATTTTTGGATCCGTGAGTTTCTTTTTGTGCTGATCACCATTTGCAAATAATTATCTTCTCTCTCTTTTTTTTTTTTTGACAGAACATAGGTGTTTATAGCTTGAAGATTCCATTTGCAGAATATCTTGATGACTTGTTTTCACTGAGTACTTTTTTTCAGTCGAAGTAGTAAATGCTCAGGTTTATACACCTGGGGTTTGAACCAGGCAGTCTGGCTCTGGGGCCCAAACTCTTAGCCTGTAGTCTAATGCCTGTTAGTTTTCATCTGTGTATCTAACACAGCACCCTGTGTGTAGCCAAAGGCCCTTCAGCCATGTCAATTCATGTCATCAAGCGCATTAGGAAGGGTGAGAAACCGTAAGTGTCTTCTTGGTTCTGTTACTAGACTTCCTTGACCTTGGTCAAGCGCCCCCCACCCCCACCCCCATTCCTCTAAATTTCAGTTTCCTTGAATGGAAAAAGGAAAGTGGGATGGACCATTGCCCTGTGGGGCTCCCCCTAGTTAAAGTTCTCTAATTAATTTTCTCTGCTCCAACTGTGCTGGCTGGTCCTTCAGACGGATAAGCAAAGGATTTCCCAAACTACAGGTTGCAGGCACAGCCCAAAGGGTTTTGAGATGGTACAATAATGGGACTGCTTATCTCAGGATAAGCAGACAGACAGACGCACCAGAAATTTCATGAGAGCAATGACTTTCTGTTTTGCTTACTGCTGTGTCCCAACATCAATAACGGTATCTGACCCAGAGCAGAGAAATATCTGTTGAAGAAATATAGAAAATTAAATGGATAAATAAATAACTGTTGACCGCAAATAGCTGTTGACTGCATATACATACTTCTCATCTGTAAAACATTACTTCATGGAGTTTGAGGATTAAACTAAATATAATATGCAGAGGTCCTAGCAGGCACTCAATAAAACCCTGTCCTAGTTAGTGGCAGACTGAGGGCTCAGACCTAGGACATCTGTTGCTAAAGTTCACGTCCCTAACTCCCAAATCACATTTTCTCTGATGTGAGTACCCTCACTTATGTTTGACCCTTCAAACTCCATCCCATCCCCTTTCTCCTTCAAACTCCATTCCACCAGCCAAAAGAGGGTTCAAAAAGGTAGAGCGCTGGAAGGACAAGGCTGCATTTACTAGTAAGTTAGCCCTCCCTACAGAACCAGGCACAGGCGCGGAGGCTCCGTCCGCCCTCGCCCACCTCCAGGCCGGGGCTGTGAGCCCTGTGGCTGCCACGCCCTGGGGGTGGGAGCTGCGGGGGGTGCCTAAAGCACTGGTGCAAACCACGTTTCCCCAGCCGGGTGAAAGGCACCTCCCAACAGAGTAGTCGGGAGGGATGGGGCTCCTCCCAGCACCTGCTGCCTCCGGGACC